AGCTAGATCATACTCATCATTTCCTAAAACAATTCGCCACAGCAATAACTCCTCTGAAATATGCAGAAGTGCCACCGCTGTGACTGCAGCGGGGAAACACGACGCGAGGTTTAATAGGACAATTTAGATGATTTGCAAGCAAGTGGAAATGCCACAGCTTCAGCAAGATGGATGGACCCCATTCCCAAGGATCTGATATTTGCAGGACCGGGAAAGAGAGCAAAACTCATGTGAGCCTCGACTACTGCAGTGACTATTAGACTAACCTACTGCAAAGCACGGCGGGGCAGCCTCTGCTCATCCCTAGAGCCAGCGCCGGGAGGAAGGACATCGAGGGCTTTGTTTCCTCTATCGGGGCTAAACACAGCGAGACTGGACTAATTAGATCAGCTGAAACCAGCTTTCCTTCTCCACTTGCCAAATGACCATTTTGTGTTTTGCAGTGTTTCCCCAGAAACACCCGCACAGCGAGCGCGCGCAGAAGGCAGCGCCGGGGCCGCGCGCAGGCGAGCGCAGCCATCCCGGTCCGAACCAAAGCCCAACGGAAATTCCCGCCGCCCTCGAAGGCCAGGCTCCCACCTGCCTTGCAGTAAAGGAGCATCAAGTGCACTGCAAGGCACAGTTCCCTTTGGTCAGCACGGTTCCCTTAATGCACCAGATCCTCCTATTTATCTTTCCAGGTTTTAACCCAGAAAACAAGTGAACGCAGTGCAGAATAGCATGGGAAAAATTCCTGCTACCACCTAGGCCCATCTTCACGCTGAACATTTGCAGGACACTCTAATCTCAAACAACGACCAAGGAAAATGCATACTGCAAATACCCCGACTCACAACTCCTGTACAACTCCCAGCCCCAAATTAATTTATCCAACACATTTATCCAATTAATTTACCCAAATCCCCCAAGTCAAATGATGCAACTCAGCAGCTAAAATGTAAACCACATGGAATCAGCCTTCATTTTAACAGATTGCTAAAATTGACTATTGCACACATTTTTTCTTTCTGCTTTGCAATTCAATCAAGACTGTTACGTGGACTAAAAATAGAGCTCGAGTGAACTGCAGTGCACCAGCAGCAGCGACTCCGCACGAGCGCTTTCCGCACATCTTTTCTAGGACAAACCCCGCTCCCAATCTTTCTGAAATATTTTCAGGAAGATGCCCARATTTCTAGGCTGGCCAATAACTGAAGTGACACTTCAGAGGTGTGAAATGGGGAATGACACATCCGACCAAGAGCTGGAATCCAAAGCTTCACTGGGAAGCTTCACTTCCAATGGGAAAAGGGATCAGAAGCCTCCTGAAGACACAGCAATTCCCCTTCCAGCCCCTGGGCCGTGGGGGATTTCGCTTCGGGCAGCAGTGGGAAGTCTCCCAGCAAAAACCGGCACCAGATGCTCCCCAGGAATTTACAGCCTGGAAGGAAAAAGCCCAGAGAAGCTACTTGCCGCTCAGAGGGAAGCTGTGCTGAACACCAGGCACTCCGTCCAGCTCAGGCTTTAGCCTACAGAAGGGAAAAACTGCTCCGCTTCCAAATACCATTAAAATAACAGAGGCCTCCTCTGCTCCTTGAAAAAAGCGGAACAGCCAACCTGAGCACCTGACTCTCAGCAAAAGAATAAGCTCAAAGGCCAAAAGGAAACGCAGTGATTGCTTTACGTTTGTTTGGACAGGCTCTTGTCACCGGGTTGCTAAATGAGCAGTGATTTGGCCCTCTGCAGAAGGAAACCCAGTGTTAGCTGCGATTTGTTTGTTTGCCTCTGTGTGCTCTGACTGGGTTCGAGAGAGTTCTTCATCATCTGTACTTATAAATTCAGACAATATATTTAAAAGAAGTAAGCAAAATGATCTTCAACTTTGAGAGCAGTCTTATTGCTGTTTATCAACATAAATTTTACCCAAATATCAGTGAAATTCTAAACGAGCACAAGATTCATAGCTCTAAAAATTCAAATAGGAAGACCTGCATATCCCCAATTCCCTGAAAATAGTCAGATTTTCAGAGTTAAATAATTATTTAGCCATTGCTTCAGTTCTCCTCTTAGCTTTTGAACCCATTTTGGATTCCGTTTTTTCCACACCAACTAGCTAGATCTTTGCAGTGAGAACAGAGGCTGCATTTTTAAATTAAAGCTGAGAAACTCCTGAAGTCATCCCGCTCTGAAAACTTCAGGATTTCAGGAAAAGCCGCCAATTACAGACAGACCACCAGAAAAAGCCACCASTTACAGGCAGAGCAGGGATGACACCATCATAGTCGAGGCCTTTGTAAACCTCTGATAATAAAAAGGCTTAATTATTAATCTCTGCAAAGCTGCCTTCTCAAAAGYTAGAAAACTTGAGGCAGGGCAGCTAAGGAGGTTTTTAAAATTGGGGACCAGGCTCTGTAAATATTCTGGCACTTAAATTACGAACGACAGGATCATTCCATCTCCTGCAGCTTCTCCATAGGATGCGGTTTAGAAAGATTCATTTCCTGTTGAATGATTTATGATATCTTTGAGGGAAAACATCATCATCACACGCATCCAGAAAGTTTTAAATGTGAGCATTTGCCACGGGGTTATTTCCTTATCCCTGCCAACTCATCCCGATATTTCTTCTCGCTGCTAGAAATTCTACACTTACACCGTCGCGTTAAGATTTTAGTTTCCATAGAAACTGTTATTGGCTAAAGTAAACACAACATGGCACAAAAGGTGGCTTTCCTAATGCAGCCGGGAGACGTTCAGCCCCRAACTGCTTCTCCACGGTTTGGTCCCGCTGTGGGCGAAGCCGCTGCCCCTCGTTAGGCTGCACATCTAAGCCAGGCTCAGGAGGCTGCCCCGTCCCACGCGAGCAAGAGCAGATCCATAACTGCTTCCTCCCAGCCTGTGAGGAATTTCGCTAATTCCTGCTGCATTTAGGCAGTGCAGCAACCTCAGTGCTCGGTGTCCTSATGCCCTCGCCCCGCTGCTGCCGGCTGGGATGCGGGAGGAAAAGCCGTCCGCGCTCCGGCCAGGCTGCGCRCACTTCCACAGCCCTGTCCCGGCGGGAATGATGGGCTGCATGTTCTGCTCCTCTTCTCAGCCTTTCTTTCACTCTGGCTCCTAAGTGACTTCATAAAAGCCACCGCTCTGATAATCATCTCATCCTTCCCTCGCTCTGTGCAGCTTCCACCGTGCTCTGAACTCAGATGGTTTTCCTAACGTACACAATTAATGCGCCTTCCTTTMTTCTCCTCAGAGCATTACTTCCATTTATCTCCTCATTTAGAGACCCTCTGCGGCGCTCCATATCGGATGGGATCTGCCCGTYTTCTGAAGGATGGGGCTCTGCATATATATTGCATTTGGACAGAAAACTCCGTTGCCCTTCCTGCAAACGGCCGCTGAACACAGGAGGACTCATGCCTGACAAAGCATGGAAAAGCCTGGGAAATCCTTCCCAAGACTAGGGAAACAAGACAAATTCAGGAGGCTGCTGCAAGTCTCCAAAGGAAATACTAAATTTAGGAGGTTGGGTACAAGTTAGGCCAGGGTCTCTTTAGGCTGAGTATCAAAGGTTCCACAGGAACTTAAGGAAACATTTCTTGACAGTGAGGGTGACAGAGCCCTGGACCAGGCTGCCCAGGGGGGTTGTGGAGTCTCCGCCTCTGGAGATCTTCCAAACCCRCCTGGATGCCRCCCTGTGCTCTGGGTGATCCTGCTGGAGCAGGACTAGGCTAGATGACCTCTGGAGGTCCCTTCCAACCTTAAGGATTCTGCGACTACTGAGCTGCAAAGCTGCAAGCTGGTTCACAACCACATTAGCTCCGAGATGATCCTAATTCCTTCCCTGTTGTGCCTTCACACACCAGCTGTAAGATAACTACTGCATTTCTGTGCCTTAGAGGGATGTTCTAAGGCTAAGCATAATAAGAAATGGAAAAAGGAAACAGATCCTACAGATCAGGACAAAGAAAGAAAAAGCTCACTTTCTTAGCTTGTGAAAAGTATAWGGTAGCATAGTTTAATATATGAGTAAAATGAATTAAAACTGTTTATTAGGAAAGTCAAGATTTACCAAAGATGTTACTTATGCCATCAAAAGGTAACACTACATCTGGCATACAATATATTTGGTTGAAAGGTCCCTATTCTGTAAGCTGTTAATGACAACATAGAGATGAAACACACATTAGGATTCTGAAAAGAAAAAAAGAAGAAAAAAGGTAGAAGTCCCTTAATGCTGTATACCAAAAGAGAAATGTTCAAAGCTATTAGGGGCTGGAGGGAGGAAATAATGAAAAGCAGAACACCCCAAATGCTCTGTTTAATGGAGGAAGACAGGTCGGTGCCCAGCGGCCTGGAGCCACAAGCAGGGGARGCAGCAGGGCTGATCCCAGCAGCCCGGGAGAGCCCGGGACGGGGAGCCACGTGCTGAGCACTCTGCTGGTGCTGCTCTCTAAGCCAATATTCCCGTGATCACGCTGGAAACCCTCTGGCAGCCACGAGCTGCTGCTGGCCGACGTGGCGCCCGGCCCGGCCGCTGCGCCGAGCCTCGCGCTCGCTCCGGCGCCCGCGGGCAGCAGCGGCCGCGCAGAGCCCGCGACACGGCGCGCGGCGGGACCCAGCTGCAAAGTTTGCAAGGATCCCATCAACAGCCAGCCCAGGTGCTGTTYTCCTGCTGCCCACGCAAACCGATGACAAAAAGCAAACTCCATCTCACAGGTGGTGCATTTCACCCCCCTAAAAGTCAAGATTTTCTCATACCCTTCATTTAATGCCACTGCTGTCAAATTGGTAACRTGTGGCAACAAAAGCAGCCTTTATGTAACCTAATAAATAAAAGTCACCACGGCAATAGCTATGCATAAATTTTAGCTAAAAACATTTTGTTAGAAGAACATGAATGCCCTCTGCAAAGTGGGTAGCATTTTAAAATAATGTTCGAGCCATTGTTAATACTTTATTGCTATTCATCATAGAACCATTAATCACGGTGAACTCATTTGGTATTAATGTGGATGTCATAAAGTACTTCTGTAGCATTTCAATTTAACTCAGCCTTTAAAACGCCGCCAGCGGTACATGGAAAGTTTCAAAAATTGAATTTGAACAGTCCTCTCCGAGATACCTACAGGCAGAGAAAGCAGCATGTCGGCTCGCAGCGGGCAGCCTCGCGGGGCCGAGCGGCTCGCGGGGCTGTGCCCAAGGCCGAGGGGCTCACAGGGCTGTGCCCAATCCACCGCTGGCTGCAGAATTGAGGGATCGTGGCCCTTCGGAGCCGCCACGGCCTCCCTCTCCTCGCGGGAGCCGCGGGCAGGATGCAGTGTCTCCCCGAGCTGCTCCAGGGCCCAGGGGCGGCTGCGCTGCTTTCGGGACCCCACAGAGACTCTCTTTCCTCACGTGGCTCCCGGGATCCCCCAGGCACAACCTGGCTCCTGGGACCAAGCACTTGGGCTTCTCACGGATGTGCGGGTCAAGCCCCAGTGAGAGCAGCTCGGAGCGCAGGCACCCGCTTCTCCCTGCGCCGGGAGACACCAAGGGGGCACGCAGGAACCCCATCCCGGCCTCTCTGAGCACAGCCAGGAACATCTCTCTGGCTTCACGAGGAACCAAATGAGGAAAGCACAGAGGGCAACACGCAACGCGGAGCTGAACACACCGCTCCTGGCATCGAGAGGCCAGAAACGCGCGGCACGTTCAGTGCTGCCCTAGACCAAGCCCAGTCCTCGGCCATTCCCTTTGAGCAGGCCTTTCATCCGTGAAGAACCAAGAATGGCAAACGGCACTTCTGATCAGAAGCTGTGTTAACAAAAATACTTTCTTTTCCTTGTTTAACTAAAGGATTTTCTGTAAACCTTGCATCTAATTCCAGCTCTATCTTGTCTTGGAAACCAATATACCATGTATCAAGCATGCAGCAAAAGCACCTACCTTGGGAGCTCTGGCATGTTTTCCACATCTGGCATCTTTGACGAGACTGATATCTAGTAGCTCAGTCTCCTGGAAGAAAACACAAGCAATGCAGATGATTATTACATTAGCCAAAACGCCTTGCTGTGTCACACCACCTCACTTCCCAGTTCAGACAGCAGTTGGCCTGTTTGCAGGAACTCTTTTCCAACCTGTAAACCGTTTCATGGAGAGTTGCATCACCTTCTACCAGTTTAACTGCAATACTTAAAGTCTTAGATATATTTAATTTCCTTAAAAATATGCATTTAACTCTAATGATGTACAGAGAAAGGTTAAACAACCATATTAGTCAAGCAGATTTCTTGGATTACTGAATGCCAGCTGCTGTGGGTTTTTAAACACAATTTTAGCTTCTTTATGCTAGTTAGTGTGAAAAGGAAGATGTTACAAAATCGAAGAGCTTTATTCCAGCAATAGAAAAATCCACTTTCTATTTTTAAAAGTGTACATAGAAAGAGTTATACATAAAGGGATAATAGGTTCCAATAATTTTGCAGTGCCTATTGCTCAGTGAAAGCCACACACTTGACAAGTGTCCCTCGAGTCCCTCAGCATTTAGGGGCACATGGAGCCTGGAGAGGGGACCTGCGCCAGGGAAGGGAGGAGCGACTCCCAGCGAGGGCTCCAATCCTCGCAGCACCGGGAACGTTTTCCCAAAGCTAACACAAACGGCCCGGGTAGACACGGGCAAGAACATCCACGTGACCTTGGGATGCGCCCGATGCTCTGCTCTCATGCATGACCTGGAGACCTTGAAGGACAACTGAATTTTTTTCTACCTCATTTACACTAGTATTTGGACTAATAGTCCCTGCTAACATGGCTCAATTTCACACTAAATATAGTATAAAAGTTCTTCAGCAGGAACGTGGCCACCCTGCAGCGAGAGCTACGATGAATTTCAGTCTTCAAGTAGAAAGCACAAGGTTGTGCAGGGAATCTGAGATCTCTGTGCAACATAAAGCCACTGCCCTTCTCAATTCCAAGGAGAAAAGGTGATTTTCTGACAGCCACGTTATTTTCCATTGATTACTCTATTTTATTTATTTATTTATTTATTTTCTCTACTTTAAGGAACCAGTTCCAGAACAGTTCTTGTAGATGCCACTTTTCCATCTCCGGGGACAGCAGCAGGATCTTGCTCTTTGCCCTGGCCTGCTTGAGAGACACTTGGACCTTTGAGATGTTTGGGTTTGGTCCTAATGGTTTGAAACAAGATAATGGGGTCAAAACTCAGGGATGAGGAAGACACAGAGGCAGGGTTCTTAAAGGTGATACCTCATATATATCTTTGAGAAAYCATCCCAAACACAGAAATACACAGGGCTTGCAGATCAAGCACTCTTTTGACAGCGCTCCAACCTCTGATGTTTGCAGCTGATTGCCATACATAAAAATCTATCTGCAGCCTTCCCTTTTCCAGCTCAGGGGTATCTGCAAGTTTGTGAACCCAACCTTCAGGTCCAGTTGGAAGCTGGTCTTACTTCCAGGTCTACAGTGCTCGTATACGTTATTCTTACTTCCAGATCTATAGTGCTCCTATACATTATTCTTATTTCCAGATCTACAGTCCTCCTACACAGTATTCTTTGTTCTGCATGACACTACCACTGTTGACGCAAGATTAACAGGGAAAAGCTCAAAACCCAGAGTGCAGAAAAGCCCTTAAATGTGACGAGGTCCAGCTAACCAGCCTCACCCACCCCCAAGAGCAGCATTTGCAAAGCAGAGACAAGCAGAGAGCAGAGTCAAGAGCTGAAAGTGAAACGGGTTTTCAGAAGGGAGCAATGCTTTTTTTAGTTATGTTATTTTTTTAGAAAAACAGCAGCAATCTGTTTCTGGCCTTGGTATGACATTTGCACATTCACATCACCTCATCCATCCCTCAGTGGAATCTATGTCTCAGCTCCCAGCAAAGTCGGGTCGGAGCAAACGGGCCTCCACATGCCCTCCTGCTTTACAAGCTCAGCCCGTGCCACATTTGCAGCTCGGATGCAGCAGGCTATTTCCAGTGCAGACACAAGAAATTCCTTTGCCAATTCCCATGCACTCTGTTCCCCTCTCCCTTTATTGAGGAAGGTGCTGGGAAGAACTGTCATCAACTTGCTCCCATCCGACATGTCAGCCCCAATGACACTAAGGGACCATTTGGGACATGCCCATAGCCCAAGGCAGACTCACTGCTCAAGACAGGGGAGAGGAAAGGAGATCCAACATCCAAGCAAGCGCTGCTACAGGGCTGGGCGTTCAGGCACGGCAGCAGATGCAACTTGAAATAAAACAAGGAGCACATAGGGCTTCCCTTGGATTTAAAGCACATGGGACATTCAGGTGTTGAAAGTCGTGGAACAGGACGGAGCTGCATGAGGGTTGGTCACGCTCGGAGCAAGGACTAAGAAGGGAAAACAGCAGCATGGATGCAATGAAGAGAGAAGAGGAGACCGAGGAATGACAAGCAAAGAAGAAATCAAAGTCACGGTGAGAAATCAAAAAGAAACCTGGGGATAAGAGGCGGAAATCCCTGCGGCCAAGCGGCAACGGGAAAGCACGACAGGGCCGAGACTGAGCGGGAGCGCAGGGAGCGCGGAGCGAGGGCGGCTCCGCAGAGCCGGGCTCCCGGCGGGAGCAGCACGCGGCCGCCCCGACCGCAGCGCCCGGAGCGGCGCCCGGCTCGCCGCAAGCTACCGGCACGTGCCGGACACGCGTGGGACGGATTGCCACGTCTGCTGTCGAAATAAGAGTCAGGACTCAACGAGAGAGAAAGGGAAGATGCTGAAGGAAAAATGGGTCTTAAATGGACAATGAAACACACGTGGAAGCTTCCTTTGCTTGGATTGCCCTGATGTTTTAGCTCTTAAAAAAGCAAAGCAAAACAAAAACACAAAAAAGAAAAGGTCCACAGAACTAATCACCTGTTCCCTTGGAAAGGGCAACCGGACCTCCCCAGCACAAGCAGAAGAAAAGACCCTTTCAAAGGGAAGAWCAGGAACGGAAGCCAAGAGAGAGGGAGCAAAAGGCAGCAGGGCAGGGGGCAAGSGCAGTCCCTTCCCCTTCGGGCAAAGGGGCAAGGGACGAATCCCTCGCTAGGCCTGGGGCTGCTGGCTTTGCGCGATGCCTTTCCAGCTGCCCCACGTCACATGTGGGGAGTCTGAAGCCAACGGGAGGAGGGCAGCGTGGGGGCTGTGGGGACMGGAGCGGCTGAGGTGGCAATGGGAACGGCTGGCACCAGCCAAGGCCCCTTGGGCCCTGCTGCCACATTACCCGTGGAGGTGGAAAGCAGGCTGGATAATCCTGGCCATAGTCCCTTATATCCCTATTCAGCAAGGCCACTTAATCCTTCAGGATTCTCTCCAAGGCCATAGCTACAGAAGCCGTGGGAATGCCACGTCCAAAGTCTTAGTTATCAGCAGGCACGGGAAAAGACCGGGCCAGGTGCAGAACTAAAAGGTACCCGAGCACCGGGCCCTGCAAAGCAGCTGCCTGTTGGCTGCTGTGCCCTGGCCCCTGAGCCAGGGAGGGAGGAAGGGAGGGACATCCACATCCACATYCMCATCCCCATCCCCGCGGCTGCCTGCACAGGCACCTTCCACGCGGGGCGGGAAGCGCAGAATTCGCCAGGCGCCGCTTCTCAGAAGTTCCTCAGTTCAAAGGTATGAAGCCATCAGGAATTCCCTGAGCCCCGGGCCCTTCCTTTCATCTCTCAAACTACTAATTAAAAAGGTAGAGAGCCATTTCCTCCCAAATGAGAAGACAGTTTCCTAATCCCCTGTTGCAACAGGCGGGTAGACTTGTGCAAACTAAAAATACTCTTAGCACCCCACAGAAAAGCGTCCTGCTTTGTGTGCTGCCCAACAGCCGGCCCAAGCCCTCTCTGCCCAAGTCCACGGTGATTTCACTAGGGATGTGCTCAGGGCGGGCCTGGAGCTGCTCTGCCCGAGGCCAACGCAGCCCAGGCACATCCAGCCGTCCCGTTCTGGCCAAAACGCTGCCAAGGGAAYCACCCTGTGCAGGGCGGCTGCTGCTGTGAGCAGCGCTCCTGCTCCGCCGCGCCGGCGAGCTCCGCTTAAGGGCTGCCTTTGGGCCCAGCTTGTCGAGCCCCAACAAGCCCGACTCAATTTCACAAAGACTCGCTCAAGGACACGCTGCAGGAGCGGGTGGTCGTTACACCGGGCGCGTGTTGTCAGTGCAGATACCCCACTGAAGACCCCAGCAAAAATAATTCCCTGTCGGGCACCCACCACGGGTGGCTTCTTGTCGTTTTATGGCTCTTCCCAGCCTGGACCGGCTCTGTTTCCAGCCCTGCTGGCACAGCCCCTTCTCTCCCACACGCAGGGCTGCTGTGCAGCAACAGGACCAACCCCGCGTGGTTCTCACAGGGAYGGGGAGCCAATTCAGCTCATAAAATCACCCCCAAAATCACCCCTTCCTTCGAGATCCGGGGTTTCACATCGTAGCCCTTGCTTGAAAGCAAACCCRATTCTGGCAAGTGCTTTCAGCTGACCTAAGAAGAGATGCAGTCCCTCTCCCTTCGAAGTTTCTCCCGTTTTACAGTCTGCCACACTCAGCTTTGAAACCTGAGCCAGTTTCATCAGCCAGCACCACGTAATGCAGTGAGATGGCAACAGCTGGGTGGTATTTTCAAAGGGAAAAAACACCATTTTGCTGAAAAAGAAACTTCACCCAAGGGCTTAAGCAACACTATGTTGGGRAAAAAAAAATCATAATGAAATGTTTCATTAATATTGAAAGATTCTCTTTTAGCCTTTTCTGAACATTAAAGCACTGAACATTTCTTGAAGCAAAAAACCTATTCCGTTCTGTATTACTTTTATTTTGATTCTGCATTTTAAATGTGTTATTTAAAATAAAARCCCAAGTGACTATAATTTTTCTTTTTAGCAAGCTGGAAGGAAATTAAAGTCAATGTTTGATTCTTATTCCGAAGAATCAGAAGTCATGCCAAGGAAGCATCTGGCCCTATATACTCACACTAAACTTGCCTCACACAAACAAATRC